ACCAGAGTCACAGAACGGATTAAGTTCGTAACCCGAGGTTCCACTGTACTGGTATTTGACCAACCCACTCAAAGGGGGGAAAGCAGGTATATTTATTTGCTATAGATAAGTAAGCAGTCAGAATACTGATTAATGTCTGCCATGTTCTTTTAACTTAAAAAAAACAAACCTTCTCAATTCATCAAGAAATCATGTTATATACCGACTCCTTCCCATTTTCAATTACCAACAAAATCATCCCTGTAGTGTGCCTAAATATATACACTTTTCCATAGTATATTCCTGAAAGATTTTCAAACATTCAACATTCTTCACTATCTTGAAATGGGTTAGTTTTAAAGTATCTCTGAATGTGCTTTCTCTTTCTTTTTTTCCCCAGTAAATGCAGCATTACTGAAATTTGCCAGCAATTCCAACATTTACCTCAGATCAACTGAATGAAATATGAAAGCTATATTATTTGTTGAGTTGAATTTTTATCTATGTTTGAAGGGCTGAAGTTTCTTAAATGGCATACTTCATTGGATGTTATGGCTTTACTGTCAGTTGTAAGATACACTGTACTTTAGATCATTTTGGATATTTTAATTTAAACATTGTATTACCCATTTTGGGCTAACAGCATGGGGAAGACTTTTACAATAAAGCACAGGAAAAAGAATAGAATTCGCTCTTGAATATTTCTCAGGCTTTTGGAAAGAAATTGGGTAAGTATTATCTACAGTCATATTCTTCTGCAAATATGTGCACTGCAAAATTAAAAGCCTAGCTACAGTCTTACTTTTATAACATTTCTTTATAGAAAACCAGACTCACTAGAAATATCTCAAACATTTTCCTGAAGACATCCCAGTACAGTTTGTAGCCTACAAACAATGGGCTTCCTTAACTGGAATTTCAGTTATCAAATTGTACTGTTTCTGAGTTACGTTCAGTTTTTCTTATAATGCCTGTTTCAGGTTCTGTTCATTTAAAGCCATAGCTTAATAGTTAATCACTGGACAAGTGGTGTAAAAATGCAATAAATAAATAAAAATTGCAGTTTGTTTGGCTTTTACTTGTATTTTACTATATATCACCCCGAGAATGACCAGCTGTAGGGTGACTTATAAAAGTTATTTATAAATAAATAAGGAAGCAAGCAAGCAAGTCAATGCAGTGTTAGAGCTGGAAGAACCAGTCTTCAGATTTACAGTAGCTGCATTTAGTTGTAAGCCCTCAGGCAGAGAGTAATAATGGGATTCACTATCTGGATCTTCATCTACCATGTTATTTGATACACATTTGCACGCACATTCCTTTCGCTCCACACTTCAGAAAAGTGCATATCATTCTATCCTCTTTTTCCGTCTCTTGTCGCTCTCCAGAACAGGGGCTTTAAGAAGATCAAGAAGGATGATGTCAGCTTGTATACGGAGGAGGGCATGGAACCAAACCAAAAGAGAAATCTCTTTTAAAGCAAACTACTGCAAAGAATCATTATGGGTGGGCCCAGCCATCTTAGTCCTGGGGAAATATTATCTCCCTTAGGGATAATATTAGGGTTATCTTAAGAGGGGGAACAAAATGGGGAAGGCATCCAAAATTATTTTAACTGCATAGCTAGGGTAAAACATTGAAAGGACTAGGCCTCAGAACAATTGGTTATGAAACTGACCAGAAGGGAAAACATCCAAAAAGTGAACTTTTAAAGAATAGTTTGTTTTAAGAAAAGCTGAAAAAAAGGAGGTAACATCTCTCCAGAAATCTTGTGAGTTAGAATGTCTTCCCCAGATCAAGAATGGAACTGTCAAACTGAAGAGGATTTGACAAGGTTTTGTTCTGATCCAGCTGCCCTCTTCTGATATTCACATTAAGAAACATGCTTGCACTATTGTTAGAGAATGCAAGAGTTGCTATTCTGCTCCCTCCAGTTGCATTTCATGCTAAAAAACTACCATGACCTGCAGGGCCCATGCAATGTTATAAGGATCTTAATGGGCAATTTTCTTTCTCAGGGAAGAGAACTTAGAAAAGATAACAAACATTCCAGTAATTCTACTGCTGCCATTTCTGGCAAAAAATGAGAATTTTGCCAGGCTGTAGTTTCAAACCTGATGCTGACAGCATCATATGACAGTGCAGTTTCAACAGTTTGCAAAGCGATGGTCCATTCTCAAACCCTATCATTTTTGGCCTTCATTTTTGTCGTCAGGTTGGTACAACCCATGCTGGTTTCCTGGAAAGTAGAGCAGCTGCCAGATGTCACTGTCACAAGTTGCCAAGAATAGGATGCTTCAGTAGGATCAGGCACTACTTGTGCATAATTTAGCATAGACAGTAAATTTCTAATGCACTAGTTTTGTTCACAGCATGGATGCCTCATCCTCAGATAAATGGCCTGTCAATCACTGAAGACCTTTGGAGATTTATTAAAACAACATGATTGGTTCCATATGGCAACATATCCTCCACTTAAAGGAATCTTTGGCAAGTTCCCAAAAATTAGGGTGTACTGCTTATCACCCTGAATTTATTTTGGCAGAAATTTGCACAATACTTGGCTGCATCATCCTTTGCCTTTTGCTATAAATCTCACACGTTTGAGCATTAAAATCCGATTAATAGTTGTTTTGAATATGCTGCCAGTCTCAGCGTTTCAGATAACTTCATCCAGATGCTATGCCTTGAGAATGCTTCAACAGCATCGCCTGTTGAATTGCATTGTAAAACAAAGTGTTTTTTCTGTAAGCATTAGACAATAATTCTTGTATTTCCTTTGCAAGTGAAGTCTAAATAAAACTCTGAAAGAAATCCAGGAATGGAGTAAAACTCATTTCATTACACATAAATGCTTGACATTCTATCCGTTTTCAGTTTTTTTTAAAAAAGGTACTAGTGGAAGATTGAGAGGGACATGCCCTCCATTTCTAAGTTTCCGGCAAGGTCTGCAAGATCACTCTTCCATCATTATGGTCCATGTCATTAGAAACCTTCCACCAATATGCGCCAGAAGTATGTGTGAAGCATTGTAACCATGCTAAGCCATGTATAATTATTATTTCTCTTACTAAGCCCCCTGTCAAGACAAAGAGGTCAGGGTGACAAGAGCGAGTATCTCAGACTCCTTTCCCTGAGTCTTGTTAATGCCTGAACAAAAATGCCTGAAAAAATACTGTTCTATAAAAACAAATTATTTTACCTTATCTGTTTTATAAAGCTGAGATCTTAAATGCAGCTGGTAGGAAGCATGATATTAACTGAGGTTTAATTCTCTCCACAGCAGCGCTTCAGTGGGTTACAGCTGTGACTGGGTTTTGCTGTCATTTCATTCTGCACACATGCTTGTGATTTCTCAAGTTGCAATCTTTACTTTAGCCCTCTTTTTATTTTTACTTTTAGGAGAGCAGCTCCCTCTGCTGAATTTTCTGTGGACAGAACACGCCACCTTATGTCTTTCCTTACCATGCTAGGCCCCAGTCCTGACTGGAACGTGGGGCTTTCTGCTGAAGATTTGTGCACCAAGGACTGTGGATGGGTCCAGAAGGTCATTCAGGATCTGATCCCGTGGGATGCTGGGACCGACAGTGGAGTTACCTATGAGGTATCAGGAATACTTACGTCTTCCTAAAATCTGTGCTGCTTTTATGACTGAATCATAGAATGACTCATGGAAGATGTTCTCCAGGAAATGTATTGAAGGGTAAAGCATATATCCCTAATAAATAGCTAAAATATCATGTCTTCTGGTCCTAAGCATTTAGTCAGAAGTGAAGGGAATCAAAATATTTTGAGAGCTGATACATTGAATATTGCAGATTGGGTTGTTACAACCCCTTGTTGATCTTACTGACAAGATCTAAACATGCCTTTTTATCTGTAGCACTAATACATAAAATTAGAGGAGAATTATTGTAGTTTTATGCCTGCAGTTATGACCCACATTTTACCTAGAGGGATGTGTGAAGCAAGTTGGCAGGATTATCTTGAAGCAAATCATGAGGAATTTCACGGGGCACTAAACCAAATAAGCAAATTAATAGTATTGGAATGATTTTTCAGGAGGGACAATCTAGGGTCTAGGTTTAAAAAGTGGCATAAATTGTACATCAAGATACATTCAACTTCTCACTGGCATTGGATATCATTGTGGAAGGTTAATGAAGGAAGCCTTTTGTAATGGTATTAGCTGAAAACTCTTATTAAAACTGCCTTGAATTTCATCTAAGAACAAAAATATGCCTTCGTCTCCTTTTGTGAAGACTGTAAATTCTTTAGGGTGGATGGGAATGCAACTGTCCTTTTTTTCCCTGCCTACCCTATTTCTTCAGTTTTAGACTTTTTCATATTGAATGTTCATTTGAATCTGAACTTGAACTTCAGTAAAGCTAATGAACTAAATCAGGACTGCATAAAGGATGAAGAAGCATATCTACTTTGCTGTACTCAAGCAATGCTTAAATAAGGCTAAAACCTGAACACAAATTTAATGGTTCCTTTTTGTTTTGGAATAACATCTATCATTTGCAACTTTTTTTCAGATGGTCTTTACTGTACTTTTGTTCTGCCTCTCGTCTTGCAGCCTTAAAAATTTCCCTTTGAACATCTATATACCTATTTTGGCCTTCTTATCGTGTGCGTGGGAAAGGAGCATTCACCCCCTGCTTGGTGCATGAATCCATAAGCTATCTCTATGGCCATCCAGCTCCTCTTTGAAAGCCTCCAGTAAAAACGAACCCACCACAGTTCTAAGCAGACTTTTCCACTACTTAGCAGTTCTTTACCTTGAAGAAATTCCTCCTAATATTCAGCCTGAATCTCCTTTCTTCTAATTTGATTCTTGTCCTACTCTTAGGTTCAACAGAAACATGTCAGCCCTTGAGTGTTTGTGGTTATATCTCTCAGTCTTCTCTTTTAACCGTTCGTCATAGGTCTTAGCCTCCAAATCATTTATCATCCTGGTGCCTTTTCTCTGAATCCTCTCCAGCTTTTTCTTGTCCTATTTATTGAGTAGTGCCTAGAACTAGATATAGTATTCCAAGTCATTCTGCTGACCTTCATTAAGAGCTTTCTGTGTGATACCTGTGTGCTTATATATTTCTTACTAGATTTAGAGGCCACTCAACACCATAAGACTCTGACCTTCTCTGATTAGACTTTTTTTTAAGTCTGGCTTCCAGTATTTTCATCATTCCATCAAGGAAACAGGCTGACATTTGCAACAGGTGCAAGTGATATATTCTTCCAATAAGAAGACATAGTACCTACCCGGCAAGTCACCCATGCTGCTCCCTCAGTGTCCATCCTTTTGGCAATGCATATATTCTCCAGAAACTCTCCTGTTCTATTTGGGTGATGAATATGCTGGAAGATAATGGGAGGGAGGGGGGATGCATATTCAGATTTGCAAGTTGATGTTATTGTAACTTTATAATAAAAGTAGTATTAGTATTCATCACTTTGGTTTCCTAGTCTGGTCTACCTTGGAGGGTTGACATCAATACTGCAAGTCTAGATGCATCTCACCCTGCCTTCCCTTTATCTTCAAGAGAACTAGGAAGGGTTAAGCCTGAGACACTTTCTCAAATTACGTTTCTGCTTCAGATTCAAATTTCTTTTGTCTGACTGTTGTCTTGGTTGTGGCTCTTCTTCCTATTCCTCAAGGTTATTCCTTCAGCCCATTATAGTTTTTAGGATGGGAAGGAAAATACAGCCCTTTAATAAAAGCAATATCTTAATATTACATAGCCAAAGCAATATCTCCTGAGCAGCACACATACAGTAATTTTTGTGTAAACAAGGGATGGATAAGTTGCAGGTAAACTTTGGGCTGATCTTGGGAGGAAAAGAAAAAGCTGGATCTCAACCAAAACTGACTTCTTCTCCCTATATTCTTTTGATTAACAATATTCACCCACGTTTTTATCTTTAGGGAAACAAAAAGCTTCATTTGCTTCCATAAAGCCATTAACTTCCTAGAAATACGTAGGCAGTATTAGGAGGACCTCAACAGATCTTTGGTGATTTATTTTAGAAATGAGGTGGTCTTTTTGGCCTTTGTAAAATCATGAAAATATACATCCCAAAATCAGTTTAATGCTATAAAGAATGAGACGTTCTCTTTCTGTGAGGGACCGTCAAAGAATTTTTTGGTCCATCTCCTTGGCCCAGCTTCACACTCTAGCGAATTCTGAAAAGTCAGAGAATCCGCTGACTATAGATCGGTGATGGCAAACCTGTGACGTGTGTCAAAGGTGACACATCACGATGTTTTGGGTGACACACTAGCGTTCACCAACACCCAACAACAACTATTCTTCCTGTTTGAGTTACCAAAGAAATTGAGTTTGTTTTACTCATATTTCATTTTTGTAATTATTTGATGTTTCTTTATATAATACAT